CTAGCGACGAGAGAGAGAGAGAGAGAGACTGGTTTATTTGTGCCTTACACAAAGTACACATAAAAGCCTGTAAGCAGCCATATTTGGCTGAATTGGAAAGGCTTTAAAATACAACACAAAATGCGCTTATAGATTAGCTATTTGTTAAAAATTCTTTACAATTGATAAAAACCTACTCGTTACATATCTAGCTTACATTAAGATTTACCACACGTTAAAATACAATAATGTAATATAAAAACAGTAGATTGAATGTTTCTTTCGGTTAAAATTACAGAAATAATGCAAAGTTATAAAATGCAGGTTTGTATATGTGAAACTGATGTACGTGAATCATTTTTCACCATTCAAAAGCTTAACACAGTACGGCAGAGTAGTGTTCAAGAAACGGGACGTTCTGCACCTAAACTGGCTTATGTCGAGCGAATTTCTGAGATTTCTGCCATGTACATCAACCCGGCGTGAGGGTAGCCAAGAGACAAAGTCTGACTTAACTAATGATTTAGTAAACTATAGTTGGTGTACATGCTACCCAGAATGATTAAACAAAGGGAACCCAGTGTTGTAGCTGTGAACACGTAATAAGGTATACATTATCTCCCATCCACCTATACATTGCATAACTATTATCATCCTATGCCTGCTCCACGTTTCTGTCGTATTAGATGATATACTACGAGAAGTTATTAGTACGACTTAGTTAGTGCCCTGCTCAAACTCGAGGGATTGCACAGATTTCGAATGGCTTCGGAGAAAACACGAACCCGAAAATGCCCTCAGTGTCCGGTGGTGGAGCGCCCTCTGGCAGCTTGAACGTGAACCGCTGCAAGAGGGAAGTGAAGAAGAGAAACAAATCGAACTTGGCCAGCTGTTCTGCGAGGCACCTTCGGGGACCTGGTGCGAAAGAAAATGACAAGCATGTGTCTGTGATCTGTGTTATACATAAAAATTGTAAAAAAAAACAAAAAACAAAAACATAATTTGCCAAAAAAGGTAGAAGGCAACAAAACGTTGGATTATACTATGTGGAGGGCTCCAGTTAGGCCATGTTGATTTGATTATATGGATGACATCCGCGCGCGCATGAATTTTCAACCGTTTCCAAAAAAAAAAAGTTTTCAACCATACTGTAAATCGTGCAAAATGAGCAAAAATATACCATAAGTTACAAAAAAATTATTAAAAACTATACCAATATCGTAGAATGCCAAAATCAAACGAAAAAAGACGAAATTGTAAAGAAATGAATTTGAAGACTAGATTATTCGCCAAACCATATTCTGTGCCATTTGCTCAACTCTCATGACCACGTAGATTTCATAATGAAAATAACTTTTTTTTTTGCAAAACTTTTTTTTTATTCGCACGCGCGCATCAGTTTTGGGGCTCCCGGAGGAT